CATGAGCTCGTTTAGGCGACACCTTGGGCGAGTTTAGTCGCGCGACTAGAGCGTCGATCAAGAACTCGTTTAAGCGGTACTCTGAACGTGCCTAGTCGTGCGACTAGAACGTCGTCTATCGTCGCATAAACTATTCAGTTTGGTCACGACTAAATCGGCATCTTTGAGCGGATTTAGGCGACGCCTTGGACAAGTTTAGTCGCTCGACTAGAACGAATAGGGATACCAGCGCGTTCGGGCGACACCTCGGCTTATTTAGTGGCATGACTAATAAATCCCTCCAGTCTGTTTACGTAGTTAGGTGACGCCTTGAGCGCATCTGGTCTTGCGATTGACGCGCCTTTATTAGTTTGTAAAGGCACTGTGTCTTAATTTGTCTCGTAGAGTAACACTTGGTTTGAGTGGATTATCCAAGTTGAGATGCGCGTTTAGCTGCTAACCGTCTTCCGGTTCAATCTCAGCCGCTGCTTGGTTTAGTTCCGGTTAAATCCTGGTTGGAGCAAACCTAATTTCAAAGGCCTAACCAAACCGAATTAAGTTAAGGATCAACGGATCTCGGATAATCTTCTGGGTTTCTGCAGTTAATGGGCTTATTTAGGCCCATTTAAGTGCATTAATTGCACTTAGAGAGTCGTGCCTTAAACTTTGCTATAAATAGGTAGGTTCTCTCCTCATTTTACCATTCTTCTCTGCAAACTCAGGTACTTTCTTCTCTCCCTTCTCTCTACTTTTAGCTTTCTCTCTCTAAGTATTCTGCTTCGGTTATGGCCTCGTCCGGGAGATTGTCTCGTGAGGAGAAAGGCAAAGGGGTTGCCTGTGCCGACGATGTGACAGCGGATGGAAGTCCGATTGAGGATTTCAACTTAATTCATCGCGACGCGCTACTCAGGGAGAGGCTCGAGTCGCGTGACGATTCAGCCGTCGAACTGGAGGATGAGGAAGACGGTTCGAGTCGCTCAGGGAGCGAATCCGAGCGAGAGGATGGCGGTTCTAGTCGCTCGGGTGACGAATCCGATCAGGAGGAAGCCGGGAGTTCTGGTTCTGATGAGTGTGGCGAGGATTCGGCGTCTCCGGATCAGAGCCCTCGAACTCTATGGTTAAGACATCGAATCATTAGATTCGATACGATCGAGTGCAAGCCGACTATTTTCCGTCTTGACGGCACCTTCGAGGAGTTGAGCGCTCTTCCTCCGGAGTCGGCGCGGGATCCTTGGGCAGAAGGCCAGCGTTGGGAGAATGTCTTCGGAACTCGATCTAATCACTCGACTGTAAGAAGTATTCTACAGTCCTCTAGAGGGGCCGGCGTGACTTACGCGATTCCTACTCAGGAGCAAAGGCCTTGGTCCCCTCCGATCGGCTTCCAATGCCTATATGAGTCGTATTTCGAGGACGATTCGAAACTCTGGTTTCCGATCCCGCGTTTGATCTCAGCGTATGCGAGGAGGCGGGGAGTAGCGATCAGTCAGTTGAAGATAGGCTCGATCCGGAACGCTGTTATGCTGATGGTGATGGCTGCAGAGATAGATGTCCCAATGAGTGTAAGAGTCTTCGAAGAGCTGACTTCTACGAAGGCGGAACGAGGAGGTTTGTTCTCCGTGAAGATGCGTCCGAGTTATAACGTTTTAACCGGCCAACCCCGCAAGACAACGAACTGGCAGCGCTCATATTTCTATGTTAAAGCCGATAAGTATGCGTTTGCGGAGGCCATTGAGGACGACTTCCCGGTGTTATGGGACAAAGAAATCGGTAGAAGTCGAGCACCGTGTTGTTTGCTATAATCGTTGGTTATCTAACCTTGCTTTTGTTTCTGCAGGTCGTCATCCGAATACGATCGCGTACCCGGAAAAGTTCTTCGAGATCGCACAAGCCATCGCCACTCAAAGCCATCTGAATTGGCCGGACCTGAGTCGTGAGTGGATTCGTCGTCAACAGGCTCGTATTGAGAGAGGTAAGAGATTCTTTTTGTATATCCAACTCTTAGTCCTGGCTAACGAACTAATGCGCATCTGTCTCTTTCTGCTTTCGCAGTTGATTGGGAATCAAGGCAGCCGTTGATAATCTCGGCACGCAAGTCACGATTGTCCTTGTTTACCAGGAAACAGCAGAAACTACTCAAGCAAGCAAGGGGGATGTCGGGAAGACCAGACTTGAGTGCTTTGCTTAAGGGGAAGCTTCAGATGCTGAAGAAGACGACGTCTGGAGTCGCAACGGCTGGTAACAACGCCGAAGTTCCTCAACCGCTCCATCCAGACCCGACTGATCGGTCTACCGAGGTTGATCCGCCGGCTCCGGAAGCGAAGAAGAAGAAAAAGCGGAAGAGCCCAGCAGCGAAGAAAGCGCCTTCGTCGACAGAGGATACTCCTCTCGAGGGGCACGGAGGCGGTTCGGATATAGGAGAAAAGGAGAAGGGAAAGAGATCCCGTGAGAATTCTATCGACGACGGTCCTACCGAGGGCAACGTTGAAGAGAAAGGTCCAGGAGAGAGTCCGAGGAAGAAGAAGAAGAAGAAAATCGTCAACGAAACCAAGGAGACGTCGAGCGTCAACGATGAGGTCGAAGCGTGTATCCAGCCGACACATCCATCTCGAACCGATGTTGTGGAGAGGAGGAGTCGGTCCGAAGGTTCGCTTAGCAAGAGACCCTTGGTTGAATTTGTGGATCGTGTGAACTTCTCATACGATGAAAAGACTCCGTTAGTACACAATCCGGACAGGTGTGCGGATCTTACTCGGCAGATCCGAGGCGGACCGATTGAGATGCCGCAAGTTAAAGATCTTTTCTTTAAGGATGAGTACACAGAAGCAGCGCTGGCGAACAGGCGGGTACGTTCTTTGACTGTAACATTGACGATTATGGTTTTATTCTCTCCTCGTCCAAATGCTTATCTCTTGATTTTGTTTGCTTTTAGGCCGATGGGAGCATGAACGTCCTTGTCGAGAAGTACGACAAGACTCTGAAGCAGACGATGGTTCAACTTGGGAATTCTGAGCAGCTTGCCCGCACGAGACTCAGTGTCATCGAACAGATGAAAGCTGATAACAAGAAGGAGAAAGAGATCCTTCGTGAAAAATTTACCGGGTTTGAGAAGATACTGAAGGCCGACCGTGCCGCAAAGAAGCTTCTCACGCGAGAAAAGGCGAGTCTTGAGAAGGCCAATGCCGCACTGGAGCAAGAGAAGGCAGAGCTTCAGGCGGAAAGGGATGCGTTGACGCAAAAGTTGATCAAGGAAAGGAAGCGTCTGAGGGACTCGCGGAGCCAGGAGGTTACGCGCGAAAGGGTGCGCGTCGAAGCGGCCATGATCGAGAAGGCTAACCGATGCCTTGATCGCGTTCGGGTTTACCTTGAACGCCGCAGCCTTGTTGACCGGGAACAAAGTTTGTTTGACCAGGCTTCCGGGACGAGAAAATGTCTCGAGATGATCCAGGAGGAGAGGGTCGGGATTACGCAGGAGTTGATTGATGTCTTCAGTGGCCAAGAGAAGGAGCATGAAGCTAATGTTTCCAAAGTAAACGTACCTCCTTTATCCGATGCTGATCTCACTCTGTCGCCGCTAGTTCTCCCTTCGCGATTTGTGAGTGAAGAATTTGCAGCTATGGTTGATCCGTATGGGTCAAATGATGATTTGGTTAGATCGGAGACAGCCTCGCAGCTTCGGATGCCAGATGAGGTTCTTGGGAACGAGTCAACCGGTAGATCGCGGGAGATTTCGACTGACATAGTTCCGTCTCGGAAAGAAGGGGGTGATGGGGCGGAAGAACCGTCCGTAGGCCAAAGAGAGACAGAAGTTACTGAGAAATTCGCTTCTCCGACTCCGATCGAGCACGCGAAGCTACCCGAAAGGGTTGATGGGGACGAGCCGACGCCTGAATCTGTGGAGATTCCTACTGTCGTTGAGGATAGCGAAACTGCGAAGGGGTCGGGACCGGAGTTGGCTGCTTCCAATGTTGATGATCCTTCCAGCCTTAAGGAGAACAT